TGTCCCCTGAGGCACACATCAATCAAATAACTGCTGCAACATATGGGAGATTGGCAAACCTGAGATTGGTGTTTAGACATCTGAGTAAGGAGTCATTCACAACATTGTACACAGTGTACGTAAGGCCTATACTACTGAGAATAATGCAGCGCCAGTATGGAAACCCTCACTTAGTCAAACACGTCAAGAAATTGGAGAAAGTGCAAAAATTTGCAACACGATTAGTCCCGAACTGAGGGGTAAAGTCTTATGAGGAGAGGTTAAGGGAACTCAACCTGAAGACACTAGAGGATAGGAGGGATAGAGGGGACATGGTAACAACGTATAAAATACTAAGAGGCATTGACAAGGTGGACAAGGATCGAATATTTCAGAGATGGGATACAGAAACACGGGGACACAATTGGAAAACCGAAAACCCAGATGAGTCATAGGGATGTTAGGAAGTATTTCTTTAGTCTTAGAGTTGTCAGGAACTGGAATAATCTGGAGAGTGAAGTAGTGGAAGCAAGTTCCAATAAATAGCTTTAAGAAGAGGTATGACAAATATCATGGAGCAGGGAGAGAAGTGAATTAGTATCGACCAGTGAAGAGGCAGGGCTAGGAGCTATGACTCGACCCCTGCAACCACATATAGTGAGTATATAGGTGAGTACACACACACACACACACACACACACACACACACACACACACACACACACACACACACACACACACACACACACACACACACACACACACACATACAACACACACACAACACACACACACACACACCACACTCACTCACACACTCCACACTCACACACTCACACACTCACACACTCACACACACACTCACACACTCACACAACACACTCACACACATCACAACTCACACACACACACACACACACACACACACACACACACACACACACACACACACACACACACAACACAACACACACACACACACACACACACACACACTCACACAATCACACACACACACACACACACACACCACACACCACACACACACACACACACACACACACACACACACACTCACAACACTCACACACACACACACACACACAACACACACACACACACATCACACACACACACACACACACACAACACTCTCACTCTCACTCACTCTCACACTCTCACTCACTCTCACTCCCCCCTCTCCCTCTCTCTCTCTCTCTCTCTCTCTCTCTCTCTTTCTCTCTCTTATTTCTCTTCTTTTTCTCTCTCTCTTTTTCTCTCTCTCTTTTTCTCTCTCTCTTTTTCTCTCTCTTCCTCTCTCTCTCTCTCCACAGACTCCTCTTTTCTCCAGGTGCACACACACATTATGACCCACTTTTTGCATGAAACCCTTATTTTAATCCACACAATCCTTAAATTTATACATTTATATTCCCTCTTCTCCTTCCATAACTGATCCTTCAACATTATTGATACCCCTTCCTTAGCTCTAACTCTCTTCAATACTCCTGACTTAATCCCTATGTTTATGTACTGAGCAGATGCATGTATAGATTTTACATATGTATTTATGATGGGTTGGGATAGGCTAAGGAGATAAGGTATTTTTTAACTGTAGTTTTAAAAGTGCTAGCTGTACCAGAGGTTATGGAGATTTCTGTTAGTGTGTTCCAAATTTTGGGCCCTTTTATGTACAGTGAGTTTTTGGTCACTTTGTTGAGACGATTGAATGTGCATTGATGGTAAGGTACCACGAGTTGAGATTTGCTGGATGGGGTTGAGTTTTTGTGAACTGAGGTATTGTAACAGTTGATGTTTGCTTTCTTTTTTCCTTGTTTAATAAACCAGTCAGGGTATGCACTTTGGAGAAATGTGTTCTAAGGATTTATTTTTTGCTTGGTCTAACTTTGAGGGGCTGAATATGCTGAGTGCACGCAAGAAGAGGCTTCAGATGGTTCTCTTCTTAATTTAGATTGAATGGTGGCTGTAGAAGTGAACATAGTTGGCAGTATGAGTGGGCTTCCTATAAACTGAGAATTCAACCTGATCATTATTACTGGTGATGAGAACATCAAGGAATGGAAGTTGATTATTTCCCATTCAACTTCGAACTGTTTAGAGGGAAGAAGATGGTTAACATTCTCAAAGAATGTGTTGAAGCTGCCCCAGCTGTCATCTAATATGGTAAAGACATCATCATCTTACCTGTACCAGGTCATGTCTGGTGGTTTAATGCTGGGAAGGATGGTAGTTTCATAGTATTCCATGTATAAATTAGCGAGTATGGGAAAGAGTGGACTTCCCATGCTGCAGCCAAATTTCTGCCTGAAGAATTCATTGTTGAAAGAGAAAACATTAGTAGTGACATGTAATTTAGTGAGGGCTAAAATTTTCATGATAGAAATTGAGGGAACTACTTTTGATGTGGCAGCAATTTGGTGGCGAGGAAGTTTAGGCCATCATCGACTGGTAGTCTAGTGAACAAGGAATCCACATCCAAACATAACATCCTTTTGTTCTGCAGGTTGATGTTTCTAGCTTTTTCAATGAATCTTCTGAATGTATCAGATGTGACTGTGAAAACTTGCTGAGGAAAGGAAGTAGAAGACTGCTTAGCCATTAAGCTAATTTGTACAAAAATGACCTTCTAAAAATGATTGGTCTCAATGATATACCCTGCTTATGGGTTTTGGGTAACCCCTAAAAATAAGGGAGACTTGGGTTTGTTGTTCTGAACTGGAGCAAAATGTCACTGTCCTTTTTGTTATTTCCAGTGGCTCAAACTACTTTGTTAAAATTAGCACTAACGGTTGGGAGGGGATTTTTGTTTAGTTTCTCATGTGTGTTATTGTCATTTAATAGATCATAGGCTTTGGTGAAGTAATCATTTTTGTTCAAAATCATTATCTTTCTCCCTCTGTCTGAATAAAGTACGGTGGTACCTTTGGATACAAACGTATTTCGTCTCAGAAGGCTGTTCAAATGCTGATAGCGAACGAATTTGTTCCCATAAGGAATAACATAAATTAGATTAATCCATTTCAGACCCCCAAAAATACACTTACGAAAGCACTTACATAAATACACTTACATAATTGTATGCATTTTGAGCTGTTCGTATCCTGAGGTACCACTGTAGTAACAATTATGTTGTCATTGCATCTGAGTTCTTGTAGAGAAAGATTGTAGCACTGAGGTAAACCATTGTTCTTAAAACAGTCTTGGATGCCATTTAACAAAATGCCCTTGATGCACAGTAGGTTTTTGTCATGATCATTGTTGGCTAGATATTTGTCAAAACTTGTGGTGTAATCCAGAGCATGGTTAACCAAGGGTTACCCTGATCCTCAAAGGAGGCAATCCAACTGAAGTGAATAACTATAGGCCTAAAATCTTCAAAAAAAAAAAAAATACATAAGCGAATTAACTCCTACCTAATATCTCATGTTAACATACTTATCCCCTGCCAGTTTGCATGTGGGCCGAAAAAGTACAAATGATGCAATTATATAAGTGCTCAAACTGCTGTGTGCATCACTTGAAAAAATTAATATCCTTTGGGGTTTTTCATAGAACTGTGGAAAGCTTTTGATACAGTGGACCCCAATATCTTGCATCTGAAACTAGAACATTACAGAACATTACTCTTGAATGCCTTATCTTATCTTAGTACATATAGTCTCCACAAATAGTGTAACCTTGTCTGCTCAGCCTGTAGATGCATCTCATCTCCTTCACAGATGACACTACTTATGTCTTCTCCCACTCAAACCCGACTGTGCTTAGTGACACTGTTAATGACGAGCTCCTAAAAATATTTATGTGGATGATGACCAACAGACTCACTCTCAATTTAGACAAAACCTGCTACATGCTGTTTGGAACAACTAAAAATATCCAACTTAACATATTGATCAGTGGTTTCCCCATTACAAGATACACTGAGGGCAAATTTTTAGATCTTCACCTTGACTGCAACCTTAAATTTCAGACCCACATCCAACATATAGCCAAGAAGGTTTCCAAAACAGTAGGCATCCTTTCCAAGATATCGTGCCATGTACGTACCTCAAACAGCACTACTTACACTCTCTAATCTACCCTTACCTCACCTATGGTATTTGTGCCTGGGGATCTACTACAGCTAATCACCTTAAACCATTAATAACAAACCAAAAAAGCTGCAGTATTGATTATCACCCATTGCTGCACCAGACAACACACCCCTCTGCTCTTCCAGAGTTTGAATTACTTAATATACAAAATATGCACTCATATTACTGTGCCTGTTATGTTAAACTGCTTTTTGATAGCTGCAACAGAAAACACAGGCACAACACAAGGCACAAAACTCTCTCTGACATCCCCAGTGTCCGCCTCACCTCATGCAAAAATGCAATGCACATGTAGGGCCCCAAAATCAGGAATGCATTGCCCGAACTAGCAAAAGGTCCCCTGTCTGCCAGTCAACTTAGAGCCATAATTAAAAATCACCTCATCACCCAAATGTAACTACATCAATACAGTACTTTGCTATACGAAACAAAACCAACTCGTCCAACTACTTCCTGTTTCTTCATTATCTCTTATAATCTTCTCATAGCCTGAAATCATAGAGCCAATTTGAAACTACTTAATAAATCCCAGTTAATTTAAGGTCACTAAATCAGTTTAAAGTGTATTAATACACTTGAAATTGTACTAATTGTAATATGTTTTGCTACCCTTCTTTTTATAATGATGCATAATTAAAATTTGCCACTCAGTAACCTGTGTCTAGTCTGAAGTAGTCTGTAAACATTAGCATTAGTCTGCCCAAAATACACAGGCATCCTAGTGGCTTCCTTTGTGCTTAACAAAATTTTATTACGTGTGAACTACATGTTGTTACTACACAAAAGAATAACTTTGTTTGATTTGTTTTGTTTGTTTTAAGGATAAGCTCATAAAGCCAAATAGTGAACCTGAAGTATCATTTATTTCATGTGGGTTTCTTTTATAACCAAACTGTTTATTTTCAGTCTAACCTTTGTGTAAGGACAATGATACTGTTAGAGCCAAAAGTTGCAACCAAAAGGGCCACTTTTGGCATGTCATGATTTTGGTTTCCTGAGGCCCAGTTCGGTGCTGCACCTGGTGTCATCAGGACACGAGTTGGCTTCACCGGTGGGTCAAAGGCCAACCCGACTTACCACAGTTTGTAAGTAGTGTTTTAACAGAATTCATTAATGCAAGAATAAAATGTTTCATGTAAATTGAATAACATTAATCTTTTCTAACATTTTTGTTTGTTCTGGTTGTGAAATTTCTCATAGAAGTACTCAGAAATTCCTTTTTTTTTTTTTAACTGGCCATCCCCCACCAAGCTAGAATGCTCCCCCCCCCCCACTAAAAAAAAAAAAAATCACCATCACTCACTCAGGCCCCTAGGTAAATTGACATTGGATTTAACAAAGTCTGTTAATTACAGAATCGTCAATTATTGTAATGATTGTGAAAAAAAACTTTGTTTGTATTTAACCCTTTCAGGGTTTCGGTCGTACTAGTACGGCTTACGCACCAGGGTTTTCGATGTACTAGTATACCTAAATTCTAGCGCCCTCAAATCTAGTGAGAGAAAGTTGGTAGGCCTACATATGAAAGAATGGGTCTATGTGGTCAGTGGGTGCAGTATAAAAAAAATCCTGCAGCACACAGTGCATAATGAGAAAAAAAAACTTTGACCGTGTTTTTGGATTAAAACAGCAACTTTGCACTGTATTTTCGTATGGTATTTATTGTTGTATTTATTTATTTATTATGGTATTTATTATTGAAGGAGGGGTGTTAATGTTGCAGTTTAAAAACTGCAGTGTAAAGCACCCTTCTGGCAAGACAGTGATGGAGTGAATGATGGTGAAAGTTTTTCTTTTTCGGGCCACCCTGCCTTGGAGGGAATCGGCCAGTGTGCTAATAAAAAAAAATAATAATTCTAGTTTTCCTGGTCTCATTTTCTAGAATGGTAGACATATTACAGAAATTGAGATGATTTTGACTGATTTTACAATGAAAAGTACCTTGAAATTTAGCTCAAAGTAGCAGAAATGTTCGATTTTTACCAAAGTTCAAAAGTAAACAAATCATGCTAAGTATCCAATACACGTCAACTGGTGAGTCTAATATTCTTTCACAAGTGCGCCGATATTATTTATACCATTTTTACACTAATTCAGTAGTCTGCATAACAGTAAATCTTCTATTTTTTTGTGAGAATAAAAATTTAAAGTTGAAAGCAAAAGAATGTAAGAGGGGCCTTGAGACGTGACTAATGAACAGAGGAAGTGTTATTTTAGTGCCAGGAATGTCTTTCTTGTTTATTCTGGACCCTATTTGGAGATTGGCATCTTTTGAAATTTGTGTGAAATTGGCAAAATTGCTAAATTCTGACCACTGTATTGGATAGTTGAAATTAGTAAATGGGTGGTTTCTTGTACTCATTCGATAGAAAAAATGGAGTTCTAGCGAAATAATTATGATTTTTGTCAACTAGTACACTGGAATTGGCCGAAAATAGGGCTCAATGTGGGCAAAATTGCCGATGCGTAAACATCGTCATGACCGCTAACTTCGCGAGGGCATAATTCCGTAAGTTTTCCATCAAATTTCATACTTTTGGTGTCATTATGATCGGGAAAAGATTCTCTATCTTTTCATAAGAAAAAATAATTTTTTTTTTTTTTTTTTTTTTTTTGAAATTTGGGCGACCCTGAGAACAAGTCTGGGAGAGGGCCTGGGGACCCTGCAAGGGTTAAAAGGCAGTCACCTTTACCAGACACCCTCTCTTGTCCTCACTCCTCAATATTTCAGTTCACATTTAAAACATTAAATTTTCAGGAGCCACTTATTTTTAACATCACTTGTTTTCCTCATTTTTATTCCTTTCTAAAGAGTTTCCATACATATCCGTACTGTATTCATTACAGTACTATCTTGAATGTTACGGTACCATAATTACATCTGGTTAGATAGCTTTTGGGTGATAGCTAATATTCATTTTCTTTACTTTGCATTTGCCTCTTCTTGTAGATATTTAAACCATGTCTTCCTCAGACTTTGACAAGAGTCCATTCTTAAGATACTCATATTAACTTCATCCATTTCATTGTCCTGTATTTTTGAGCGACTTGCTTAAATTTTTTGACAGAGAAGAAATGCAGTATATGTATGTAAGGGATTAATATGGGCAATACTCACCGATACCAGTAGTTTTAGGCACACCACTAGACATAGCTGTACCTTAGGGTATGGGATCCCTTAAACAGTGCCAGCTTTATTATCCTACATAATACAGGATACCCATACCTGAACATTATTTTTTTATCAGACTAAATTTACTAATGCCTTCTTTTTTCACAGGGGTGACCATACAGAGACTGTTGATGTAGACTACGATCCAGAGCAAACAGATTATGCAACTCTTTTATCCATGTTTTGGAGGTACCATAACCCAACATCCAAATGCTCACGTCAGGTAATGTCTTAACGGGGTTGGTTAATGTCTTAACAGGAGGATGGTTGGTTTTATAAATAAATCATAAATATAATGAAGTACTATATTTTCTACACTTTGTATTGGAAACATGATTTTAAAGCAGCCCCTGATAGTTGTGCAATAACATCTGATGAGAGCAGGGACTAATGTGTTCCATTATCATAAATACTGTTGAGCTACGGTATATTTTATTCCACCGGCCATCTCCTGAAACACTTTCACTATCAACTACTCCATCACTATCTTGCCAGAAGCACTCTGATACTACAGTTCAAAACCGCAAATATCCTCATCCCTCCTTCAGAGTGTAAGGACTGTACTTCCCACCTCCAGGACTCAAGTCAGGCTAACCAGTTTCCCTGAATCCCTTCATAAATGTTACCTTGCTAACACTCCAACAGCATGTCAAATTATAGAAACCCTTGCCTCTAATCATTTCTGTCTAACACATTCACACATGCTTGATGGATGTCTAAGCTCCTCATACACAAAACCTCCTTTACCCCCTCCTCCCTCCAACCTTCTCTCCACTACAGATGAATACACCATCTCTAAATGTTAGCCCCTGATAAAAGCAGGAAATAACATATTCCAATCTCAAAACTCCCTTTTTTTTTCTTCTTCTCAAAAGACCATGTTAACTTAAGATGCTTGTAAAATCCTTACCATTAACATTGCACTTTCTTTACAATCTTTCAGTACATGTCTGCTATCTTCTATCATGACGAGGAACAAAAACGACTTGCAGAAGAGAGCATGAAAGCAGAACAGGAGAAGCACATACGTCCCATCACAACCTCGATCCTCCCTTGTAAAGTTTTCTTTGAGGCAGAAGAGTAAGGATTCTTTTTTCTCATCTTGTCTTTTATTCCATTTGGATTCATTTATTTGTCTTCTGAAAACATTGTGAAGAACTGCACAATTTTTTTTTTTGACTATTCACTTGAATTTGTAAAACAAGGTTTGATCCAAGAAAGGGGAAAGTAGCTTTGATTTCTTGAATCAAAAGATATTTATCATCAAATCACCTCTTGTAGGAACAAGAATATGGGGTTATTGAAGTAGGCCTACTTACCCAGGCTCAGTAAGTACTTTGCACATCCAACCATTCCAACTCATAAATTTGTATAATGTGAAAGTTTCCTTCTTTAGCACCACCTTGCCTTGACAGATGGCCATTACCTAGAGTGAGTTTCAGGGGTCAATGCCACCATGGCCTAGTAAAAAAAATATTGAAAGCTATCCATGATAATTGATTCAATGATGAAACTTGGCAGTTCATTCTACCTATCAATCACTGTGGCAACTGTTTGTCTTCTGCTCAGCAGAGGTACCTTGATACCCTGTGAGGGCTCTTGATTCAGATAATTGGATCTATTTCCCCCTTTGATCAATCTCATTGCCTTTCATTCTCCAGCTTCTGCAACCAAAGTTAGATAAGTTCTTTCCCATGAATGTAATAATAATGATGTTTTTATATTTGTGAAGTTAATATGTAGAAGTCTTTGGCAATGTTTCAGATGAACCTTTTAGTCTTTTTAATGCTCAAGTCATTTTGAAAGTCAGGGCAAAAATCCACAAGTAATTATCACAGATGTAACATTAGAGGTAAAAGAAGAAAGAACTGATATATGATAAACTTATTTGTGTTAAATTTGCAGATTCAATTATTTATCTGCAGTGAGCTGCTGTAATATTCTACTTTTTTCTTACCCAGCTACCACCAAAAGTACCTACTTCAGCGCCACCCAGCACTCGTCAATTCCCTTGACATTGATCCAGGAGAAGAGTTAATAAGAAGCCATGTTGCTGCCCGTATCAATGGTTATATTGGAGGCTATGGAACAGTGGCTGAATTTGACAAGGAGTGGCAACAATGGGGGATCAGTGAGAAAATGGCCAACTACATCCGTCAGGAAATGACATCATCATCTCGTGTATCTTGCTAAATTATTAAATAGTAGAATTTATTTTAGGAAAACTAAATACAATATTAACCCTTTGACTGTCACGGCCGTATATATACGTTTACGAGGTACCGTGTTTGACGTATATATACTCATAAATTCTAGCGGCTTCAAATCAGGCAGGAGAAAGCTGGTAGGCCCACATGTGAGAGAATGGGCCTGTGTGGTCATTGTGCACCATATAAAAAAAATCCTGGAGCACGCAGTGCATAATGAGAAAAAAAAACTCCGACCGTTTTTTTTTTAATTAAAATCCCGAATTTGTGGTCTATTTTCGTATAGTATTTGTGGTTGTATTCTCATTTTCTTGGTCTCATTTGATAGAATGGAAACTATATTATAGAAATAGAGGTGATTTTGATTAATTTTACTATTAAAAGAACCTGGAAATGGAGCACAAAGTATGGGAAATGTTTGATTTTTGCCGATGTTCAAAAGTAAATAAATGATGTCATTGTCCAATAAATGTCCAAATAGCCATTCTAATATGCAGTCATGAATGGGTTGATGTAATTTTTACAATTATTACAGTATTGCAGTAGTCTGCATAACAGTAAATCTTCTATTTTTTGTAATATTGGAGGGGCCTGGAGACATGACTGATGAACAAAGAAAATGTCATTTTAGAGCCAGGAATGTCTGCATTGTTCATTCTGGTCCTTATTTTGAAATTGTCATATTTTTTAATTTTCGTGAAATTGGCCAAATTGCAAATTTCTGACCATGTTATTGGGTAGTTGAAATCGGTAAATGGGCAGTTTCTTGTACTCAATCGATGGAAAAAATGGAGTTCTGAAGAAATGGAATTACCCGGGAAAATAGGGCTCAAAGTGGGCGAAATCGCCGATTTGTAAATATCGTCGCTAACTTCGCGAGAGCGTAATTCCGCCAGTTTTCGATCAAATTTCGTTTTTTTGGTGTCATTACAATCAGGAAAAGATTCTCTATCATTTCATAAGAAAAAATAATTTTTTTTTTAAATTTTGCAACACCAGGAGACACCTCAGGATTGGGGGTTGCGACAGTCAAAGGGTTAAGGTCACAGCTTATAACAGTGTATCAAAAATCAGAATTTGATAATGTCTTGTATAGAAGCACAAGACTTTAAGTAAAACTATCTAGTATTTCTTTTTAAAAAGTAGGTTGTAAAATTATGAAATTTAAAGCTTTAAGTTCTTTGTAGTGAAAAAAACATAACTGAAGCAGTGATGCATTATATATAGTTTTTATCTATGACAGAAGTAATTATAGAATTTTAAGTATGATACATGAAGTACTATGAATCCATTGAACACAGGTATCATTGTATGTGAATAAATGGTTTAGAAAACCGAGTTGATAAACAAGACACTTGTGTAAATGTTGCACAAGTGTCTCATTTATCATCAGTGTGTGTGTGTGTGTGTGTGTGTGTGTGTGTGTGTGTGGTGTGTGTGGGGTGTGTGTGTTGTGTGTGTGTGTGCGTGTGCGTGCACGCACATGCATGTGCCTAGCTGAGATTGTAGGCTTGGAAGAGGATGTACTTTAAGTACTACATAATTGTAATTAAAGCATTGCTTCTGTATGTGGTTATAAGATTAGATTTGCTTTTTGTGGCCTGTCCTTTAAAACTATAGGTGCAGTCTTCTGAAGCTCTGTCTGCCCAATTTCTTTTATTTGAAAATATTTTCTATTTATTTAGACTGCTTTTTTGGTGATTTAAGATATTGTTCTCTTCTTGTTTTCGGCTTAAAACTTCTTATAGTGTCTCTCTTTTTTTCCCCAGCTAAGACAGTTTGACACTTTTTTAATATAAATTCAGCAAAGACAAATTTAGTGTCTTCAGTTTCATTGTGTGTGGGTGTATGTATATGATTTTTTTTTTAACAATCCAGCCATATCCTACCGAGGCAGGGTGACATAAAAAAAAATTTTTTTTTTTTTTTTTTCATTTTTAAATTTAGTAATTTATACAGAAGAAGGAGTTACTAGCCCCTTGCTCCCAGCATATTAGTCGCCTCTTACGACACACATGGCTTACGGAGGAAGAATTATTTCCCACTTCCCCATGGAGATAAGAGGAAATAAACAAGAACAAGAACTAGTAAGAAAATAGAAAAAAGCCCAGATGGGGGTGTGTGTGTGTATATATATGCTTGTACATACATGTGTAGTGTGGCCTAAGTGTAAGTAGAAGTAGCAATATATACCTGGTATCCTGCATGTTTATGAGATGGGAAAAAAGACACCAGTAATCCTACCATCATGTCAGTCAATTACAGGTTTCTATTTCACACTCACTTGGTAGGATGGTAGTACCTCCCTGGGTGTTTGTATATAAAATTACCTACATGTAATTACAAGAGTAATATCCTCAGGGTAATCCATCTTCATTGTTTAAATTATCTTTGTAACTTTTTATGAACTTTTCCGGGGTTGTGGTGCTTGCTACCTCCTTATAGTTGATAGACACAAGCAGTAATTAGAAACTATTAATGTCCATTTGCTTATATCTTTATCAGTTGTAACTTGTCAGTATTCCCATACCATCTACCACTACTGCCTCTTGGATCCCATTTCTCTCTTCTAACACTCTTATCTGTGACAAGAAACTTTATACTGTGTAGTAGTATTCCTCTGGCACCACTCCTCTTAGTTTAAAATTGTGATTTCTTCTTCTCTCTGTTTATAGTACTGAGAATTTATATCTATTTTTTTTTTTTTTTTTATGCTGGCCATCTCCCGCTGAGGTAGGGCGGCCCGAAAGAGAAACACTTACACCATAATTCGCACTATCACCGTTTTGCCAGAGGCGTGCAAACATGACAGTTCGCATGTCCCTCTAAACAGCAAATATCCCCACTCCTCCTTTAGAGTGCAGACACTGTACTTGCCACCTCCAGGACTCAAGTCCCACTAACCAGTTTCCCTGAATCCCTTCACGAAGTGTTACCCTGCTCACACTCACTGGTCTTATATGTTGTCTTATTTTCCTTTTCCTCCTATTGGTTAATGACAGATTTCTGTTGTTTTCCATCTTATTCATAAATTATATATTTGGTTAGGTTTGGAAGCCATTTCTTAGTATACCTTTGGGATACTGTATTTTTATCTTGAGTTGTAGACACTACACTACTGCTGCACATTCCTTGTTTGTGGCCATCTTTTTACCATTGTTGCCGTACTCGGGAGACTGCGCTCTTCCAGCTCCGTATTGGCCATGCCCGCTTTACCCATGGGTATCTCATGGAACGACACCCTATTCCTCTCTGTGAGGTTTGTCAGGTCCCTATTTCGGTTCTTCACTTTCTCGTCAATTGCCCAGTTTACCAGCGAGCTTGCAGGATTTACTTCCAGTGCCACCGCCACCCTACCACTCTTGCCTTATCTTCCCTTCTTGCAGATGGCTCTGCCTTTGACTTACAATCACTTTTTGACTTTGTCAGCAACTGCTTTACTGTATGAACTTTGACACATAGCCCTTAGCATCCCTTCCAGCCCTTTTATCCCCTCACCTCTGATCCCCTCTCCACCTAGCTGTTTATAGCCTCAGCACTATTTTCTGCCCTGCAGCGCTGTATGACCATTGTCGGTTTAGCGCTTTCTTTGATTATAATAATAATAATAATGTACGTTCCTTGTGTTGTTCCTAATGTACATTTTGAACATATGTTTATTTCCATTCCTACTCATTATTCCAGGCCAAACAGCACAAAATCAAATGCAATAGAATTTTGTGTGTGCTCTTGGGGTCATACTGAAAAGATGGTTAATAGACTTGTGAAAGATAAAATTGTTTTCCTTCTTTGTATGGCAAGAGATGAGAAGAATTTAGCAGAACTTAGGTAAAAAAAAAAGGGAGAGAAGTTATAGAAATCTATGATATACCCAGTATATAATGCAATTAACTGAATTCCTCTCATCCCTGTGGTTAATATATGATGACCATTGCCTCGGTATGAGAGCCATCAGCACAGCAGCTCACTACCTCCCCCTTCAAAGTATTGCAATAGTGCCTCACCAAAAGATCCAAGCCAGGAGTGAAGAGTAAGAATTGAAGGAACTTCAAATTTTGTTGAATATCATATTGAGTGTGTTTAATATAATAGCTTCAGTAATGTTTTGATGGCTTTAAAAGCATTTGTGTGCATTAAAATGTTGCCTCGTGTACTGAAGACACTGTGGAAAAAGACACTTATGTACAGTTCAGGACATTTATTAAAGGAAACGTTTCGCCACGAGTGGCAGGTCCCTCTCTAGCCTCACCTCCTTAGTTCCATTACTACTACTACTACTACTACTACCACCTCTACCCACGCATCACCTCACCTGACTCCCGCCACTATATATATGTGTGTTTTCTTAGTTTTCTCTGTATTAGGACTGAAGAAGCCACTCGTGGCGAAACGTTTCCTTTAATAAATGTCCTGAACTGTACATAAGTGTCTTTTTCCACATCTTGTCGGTATCACCATACCATTTCCTCACTGAAGACACTGTTGATGCTTTTGCTTTTAAAGTAGCATTATCTTCACTGCTTCCTGCACATTATATGAAGCATTGATGATACAGCAATAAGGGTGAACTCCACTTTTAATTATGGCAATTAATTATTTACATAACATTGCATTTCATTATTATATTTGCATAAACAGTGCTTTGAGACATTTTTACTGGTTCTGATGCTGTGCTCATCCTTGCTATCACCAATACTTCATATGTAGCATCACTGCACAGATCTTTGGTGATTGTTCCCTAATAGGGTCTCTACCAAATAAGAATGTGATACTCTGAACTCTGGTGACAATATATTGTGTATCATGTGTTGAATAACTATAAATTTTACTTCAGTTTTCATATGTACAAGTTATTATAATGCCCGAGTTCATGTTAAAGGATCATTACTTTTTGAAGGCTTTTGTAACAGTTTTAAAGTCTTGCTTATTTTCTCCAGAATTATATAAATCATACCTTGATACCATATACCAGTATGTAGCTTTTTTACCATGGTTATCCTTAATATAAACAATCAGTGGTTTATTAAGGTAATGTACGCTAATATACATTTAGCACAAAGTAAGTTTTAAATAAATAATGTAACTTATACTGTATAATTACAGTAATAAGGCATTCAGTATAATAAGAATCAAGCATAACATTTTGCTGATATGGGTATGTATTAATATTGAACATTCATATTGTTGAGTACTTTGAATAATTTATGTGATAACTAAATTTTTTAACAAATTTTTATTGTACAGGAGCTAAGTGTGTAAAAAAAAAAAATTATTTCAGCAAGTAATATGTTAAGAAGTTACCCTCAAAAATAACTCATTGAAATTTCTCTAGTAGTATTATAAATGACATTGAAGTGATGAGGTTTTTATATTACGCATTTGAGAATATGATGCAGTACAGTGGTTAAGTCCTTGAAATGACAGACTAATGTGGGGAATATTGTTTGAGCCTCCATAAATCTGTAAATATTGAAGCTAGAGCAGTTAAAAGCACAGTTTACAAAGTGGATTATCCCCACTATTCTTAAAAGTCCAATATAACAAGGGTTTACCATTCAAAACACTGAGTTAATGAAAGATAAATAAAATATAGCCTAACTTGACATATTTAATGCTATTAAATCCATAGATGCCTTCTAATATTCAGGTTTAACTTTAAGCACATCAGAAGTAAAGTATTTTAAATGAGTGTCCTGTACATTACATTATTCTTAAATTCTTATACATAATGTTAATGTGAATTCTATTGTTAAGGTAACCACCTACAGACATTTCCATTCCCTAAATGTAGCATCTCAAT